AAGAAACATGCATATTTCCCTTTCTACCAATTCCTTAATTTCATTTTTTTTTACATCACATGTTTAAGATTACAAAATTAAATGATATTAAAAATATTTTTAATTTGAAACTATAAGATTTAAAAGCTTTCTTTAATTTTTTTAAACTCTGTATTAATTCAAAATAAGACAAACAAGGCCCGACCCAATTTTAAAAAATAATCATATATATGGGTGTTGGATAACTTATTAGCTACCTAAAAGAGAAATGACCAAAACAAAGCATAAAACGCATCCGATGGATGCGATTTATATACAAAAATATCAAAACCTTTTCACAAGTTGCAGTTTGCACTTTGCAATAGATAGTTATGTTTTGAGTTTTCTTTACTATATTTTTATATAACATTATACACACACTTCTTCATAGTTGTTTTAGTTCAACTTTACAATATCTTAAGTGTCTTAAGTATTTGTTACACAGTTAAAGATGAAGATTTGCTATATAGAATGCATATATCTATTTAGTTCAACTCAACTTTGTGTTATAGGAGATTCTAGTGACCTTAATTGATATCCAAAATCATTTCCACACTAAAAAAATTACCTTAACACCTAAGAAAAATTAAGAGTCACTCAGTACGACCTTATACATAATTTAAGAATGATTTGAACTTAACTTAGAAATTTTTGAAGTGTTACAGTATACACATTTGTAGTTACATAAAAATAGTACGGTAATATATGGTGTTGGAATAACTTTGAGAAAGTTTTTTAAAAAGGTCACATATGGTGTTGGAATAACCTTATTAGCTTTTGAAAGAAAAAAAATCCTATTTTATATTTATCTTTTTTTATTTATATAGTAGCTCTATTCGATACTTTATTTTTTTAAGTTTATTATTCAAATTATGGATTTGTGACATTATGTAACGATAAAAAATGATACAACATAACACAATGCAATATAATACGATACATTATGAAACAATATGTAACAATTATTCAAATAAAATATAGTATTATTATCCATATAAATATTAATTAGCACAAGTTAAGCGATTCTATTATTATTTTACGCAGGATAGCATATAAAACAATAAATTAAATACTATTAATATCTTAGTTAAAATAATTAAAATGACAAGATTAATTCTCTTTACTAGCAAATAAACTTATTTCCTTAAAAAGAAACTAAATACATATCTTAATCATAATATATTATTTACCCTTTTTTACAACATTTCATTGAATATTCAATGATAAATAATCTTTAAATTATATGATTATTTACCTTTTTTTTTTTTGGGTTGATTGAGATCTTTCCACCCGTAATAAACACGCCTTCTTTAATTATACATATTAACATCAATTGAAATAAGCCTATGTTACAACTTGTTGAGATTAATATGAACTCCCCCCGTTTCAATTTAGTTATCCGAATTTTGTTTTAACTAGTTCATTTAAAGTAACATGCATATTTCCCTTTCTACCAATTCCTTAATTTCATTTTTTTTTACATCACATTTTAAGATTACGAAACTAAACGATATTTTGGTACATTAAACATATTTTTAATTTAAAACTATAAGATTCAAAGTCTTCTTTAATTTTTTAAACTCTGTATTAATTCAAAATAAGATAAACAAGGCCCAACCCAATTAAAAAAAATAATCATATATATGGTGTTGGATAACTTATTAGCTACCTAAAAGAGAAGTGACCAAAACAAAGCATAAAACGCATTCGCAAAGTGCGATTTATGTACAAAAATATCAAAACCTTTTCACAAGTTGCAGTTTGCACTTTGCAATAGATAATTATGTTTGAGTTTTCTTTACTATAGTTTTATATAACAGTACACACACTTGTTCACATTTGTTTTAGTTTAACTTTACGATAACTTAAGTGTCTATTTGTACACAATTAAAGATGAAGATTTGCTATGTAGAATGCATATATCTATTTATTTAATTTTGTGATAATTTAAATGTCTATTTATACATATCCAAAATTGAAAATATAATTGTCACATAAAATCAAATTAAATGACATATTTATGTGTTATGCCACAAACAAACTGGTCATGGGCATATAAAATTTTGTGTGGATAAGTCTAAACTTTCAATTCTTGAACTTGTCTTGAATTTTCAAAAAGACACATTAACTATGGTGCGTTCTACTATCCAACTAAACAATCTTGAACTGATATTATAATGTCATTTTTGTCCACCTAACATAGAGAGTGTGTGCACTCTCTTTCAAAGAAAATGAGCAACCTAAAATAACTAATATAATTTTATTTTTACAAGCATTTTATTATAAAATATATTTTCTTATTATTTTAACTTTTTTTCCTTTTATTTTTCTCTTTCTTTCTTCTTTCTTCTTCAAACTTTCAATGCCACCATTTTTACCACAACTTCACCTTCCTTTTTTTTTTAACTACTATTAATTTTACTCTCTTTAATTTTAAAACTTTATCTAAATATGTTCTTACATTTCGAACAATTTGACATTAGATTTCAAGATGATTAGGAAGTATCATATAGTTTTGTTATCCGATTTCAATTAAGTTCTTTCAATTTTCGGGGAATTCATTGATTTTTTAAAAATTATCATTTCTAATTTTGAAGTTATATGAAAAGGAGTAATTGATGATGCCTTCAAAATTTTAATTTTCTTAGAAAAATAATTAGTTTTGTTATGAATAATTCAATAAAGTCTAGAAAAATAGTATAAATTCGTTTTTATATTAGAAAAAAATCACGGAAAATAAAGAATTTGAATGGAGGAGAAGAAGAAAAAGAAAAGAAAAACAATAGGAGAGGGGTTCAACTTGACGTGGGGTGAGGGTTGGAGGTGAAGAAAAAGAAAGAAAATGGAAGGATGGATCACTTGAATGTGGGGGTTGGAAGATGAAGTAGAATTTAAGATGAATCAAAATTAAAATAAGTCAAAAAGTAAGAGAGAGAAATCAAGAAAAAAAAAGATAAAGAAAAAACTCAAAATGATTTTTTTAAATATTTTTAATTAAATTAACACGTGTCATGTAATGATTGGTGTGTGAACACACTTGCTTTTTAAAATTTGGGGCTGATCGAAAAATGATATAATAATATTTGTTCAAAATTATTTAGTGGGGTAATAGGACGGTTGCAAAGTTAAAGTGTTTTTTTGAAAATTCGGGACAACTTCAATGGTGACTTTATATATTTTCTCAATAGAAAACAACATGGTATACATGAAGCAAGGGTAGATGGAGGATATGTTAATTATTATGGTTCAAATGAACTCAAAATCTTTTGTTTAGACGTATTTATATTAAGAATTCATTAAATATATATAAATATTTAATTGAAAACCTAGTAAGATTGAGACAGTAACTATGATAAGTTTGATGGTAAGTTCAAAAACCATTATAAATCCTAAATTAAAGCATTGCTCGACATTTATAAACAAATATCATAAAAACAACGACATTTGACATCAAATGTTATGAAAACAATGATATTTGGGACAAAATATGCCTAATGAATTTGTTTCCAATATATGTCATATATTATTAGCAGTTAATTAATTACCTATATATTTCACATTTAATGTGAAAATCTAAATCTTTTTAAATCATCTCATCCTTCTTTTTATAATATAAAAGGGTAAAGGTCTAAGTTTGCCCTTGAAATTTATAACTTAAATCAAATTTACTCTACATTAAAAAGGTCTCACTATTATCATTTTTTTCCCTTTTATTTAGTGTTGAAATTAATCGAGACTCTAAAACGAATAGTAGAACTCGAATTGAACTATTCTTTTTATTCATGCAATAAGCTCTCCCCTTTGAAAGGTTATCAATTGGTGACAATAGGGGTGTCGATGGTACGGTTCAATCGGTTATTTTAAAAAAAATTATATCATCCTAATTTTTTGGGTATTTTATAATATATAACCAAAATTATAATTTTTAAAACCATCCCAATCATATCGGTTTCTCTTCGGTATCGGTACGGTTCGATTAATTTTTGGTTTCTTTTACTTTTAAAATATCACCTCAAAATATACTACTATTAATATATTTCTTTCACAAATATGTTCTTGAAGAAACACTTTAATTCTTCACCAAAAAGATAAGAATGTAAAACCTTGTTACCGTATTGTTTGATCTTAAATATTTAATAAGAGTGTTTGGATATGTTTTGTTGTATTGTTTGATAGAGTATCTATTACAGTATCTTTTAATTTTCAACCTAATTAAGTGAAAGCTAAATAAAGAGCAAAGACTGAAAGTTGTCTGGTCACCAGAGGCCTAGGATCTAAGTTATATTTATATTTGAAAAATGTTATAAAATATATTTATATATTAAATTTAACATGTTGTTAATATATAAAATATATTTACATACATGTAAGGTTATTCGGTTCGATTTGGGATTTTTTTTATTTTTTTATAAATTAAAAAGATTATCTCAATTGTTCGGAATAGTTATACATTTAAATAAAAATCTACAATTTTATTAAATCGATTTAGTTCGATTAGGTTCAATCGATTTTTCATATTATTTTTTACACCCTAGATGACAGAATAGTGTGACATAAAATGACCAGTACTTCATGCATGTGTGGCCCTTGTTAAGTTCAGTAATTGTTATTGTCCCAACCAGACACAAGAACAAAAGAGTACAACAAACCTAAAAAATTACTAATATAGTGAAATGTCTCATAGGATTAATTATTAGCATTTTATTTCACATAAAATATGTTTCAAAATTATACTCCCTCCGTCCCATTTTATGTAGCACAATTTCCTTTTTGGCCAGTCTAAAAAAGAATGTCACATTTCTTAATATGGTAAGTATTTAAAGGTAAAATTCATCTTTTACCCTTGTTGGTCCCACTTAATTTTAAAATAATACTTCAATACATTTATGAGGAGAGAGAAAAGTGAGTCTACTTTTTAAAAGGGTCAATTTGATAAAACATTTCAAAGTCTTCATTTATTTCTTTAAAACTCCGTGCCCCGGTCAAATGTTACCACATAAAATGGGACGGAGGGAGTAATTCTTTATCTCACGTTAAATAACAAAGACCTTTGAATACTTTTTTTCTTTTCTTCTTTTCTTCATTGTTGATACATCAAGTGCAAGAAATATCGTCGAATTTAAGGATTTTTTTCGAGAGAATCCCCGCTAAAAAAAAACACCTCGAAATTATTATAAAATCAAGTTGGGGGTATTTTGGTAATCCCTTGACGTTGTAATTCATTCAACACACTGTCAATTGATGGAGGTTTCAGTCCTATGGGAAGTGGCAATTGTGGCTTTGCTAAAACATCTTCAATAGCTGCATCTATGCTCTCGTTTGACTGTTAACAACATCAAGATAATATATCAGAAATCGGGGAAAAATTAATTTGTCAAAAAATTATATTGTATATAAGAGGTTAATTTTTTTTAATTGTATATATAGTAGATGATGAAATTTCTTAGTAAAAAATTTGACTCAAAAAAAGAAGGAAAGATTTTACAAGGCATAATACGTGAACACACGCTAGCTAGTAAGTAGACATTCCAACATTGAGAGTGTAGTACATCTAGACATCTCAATTTGATCTCAACTGACAACTAAACGCTCTAACTTATTTTTACTGTGTCTTACGAATACTCGATGCTATTGTGACACATGAATTTTGAAGATGTACGTCTAGATGATCATTTTATACATTGAAGTGTTCAACTGACACAATAAAACCAAGTTAAGATGTCTAAATATGCATACTCATAGTTATTTGCTAATTAAGGTTAAATCGAAAGGTCTATTAACATACATATATGACTTTTTAAAACTTATGATATGAAACGAGTCATAAAATATTTATGTGATGATAAATCACGGAAGAGAAAGAAGGCTCACGGGATGCAAATCAGAGGAAATTGTGTCAACTCTGATGATGGGATGGGGTGGTGGGATGCCTGGGACCATAAGAGGTGCTGCAAATCTCTGCATCAAATTATTTTGTCTATATCAGTCAAAAAAATAATAATTTAAAAACAATTTTTATATTATTAAATCACATTTATTTATATTTATTATAAAATAAAAATAAATTTAAGTTTCGGCTCAAGTTTTAAATAAGTTTTTTTTTTAAATTACATAATCAAACGTCTACTAAACATTAACAATAATTATTCGATTGAACAGTTACCGTGGGTGCTATTGGCGCAGGAAAACAAAGAGTTCCTGGTGCAAGAGAATTTGATACCTACAAAATATATTTGAAATTTATAATCTAAAATAAATTATAATATTTTTTTTATGAAATATTAATCACATAAATATTATATTATATTTAAAATCATAATATTTTTTTAATTTTTTTTATAACCATACAAATGTTAAACATGTTATATGGTCAATCACAAAATTTAAAATCCTATTTTTTTTTAGAACTTTATATCGAGTCAAATTAAAATTGAGTAAATCGAAAAAAAAAAAAAAACTCACCCTTTGATAATGTGGATGCCAAAAAGAATTATTTACATGTGGATGCCCCCAAACATGTAAGGGTTTAATATGATGAGCCATGGGTGGAAAACCCATGGTTGGTGGTGAAGGCCATGGGTTCATCAAAATTCTCTTTCCTCCACCTCCAATCATGGCGGTTCCGCTGTACATTTGCTTTTTATGGCTCAAGCTCACCGCTTCAGCTTCTCTCGCTAGTAAATGTTTTCGATGAGCTCGATATTTCTTCACATATATAACAAGAATTTAAATTACATATAGTAAAAGTGTGAACAATTCTTATATTATCAGGTCAATATAACTTATGACTGATTTTTTTTCTTTCAGGTTATCATATTAGATTTATTTTGAAGATTTATTGTACCTGACCTTAATTTAATAACACATACATATATAAAAAAAATTGTAACTCATACAATAAAATTTAAATGAGATACTCCCTCTTTTGATTTGAATTGTTACAAAGTTGAAAAATATTTTAAATATTTTCAAATTTTATGAGCTAAATATCAAGAGTACTATTTAAATTATATTTGCATAAGTATGCCATGTGTTTTATTCTAGTATTAATTACACAAAGGTAAAACAAAAATTGAAACATATTTATTTTTTCTAAAAAGAGTAAAATATAAATTTTGAATTAGTTTTAATCAAAACTAATTGAATCAGTTTTTTTTCTTTGATGTTCGATATTCGCATTGATTCTGATTCTTTCCGAAACTCTCATATTGGGGAGAGCGCTCCCAAATTGCAAGATGACGATATTCAAATTTCAAGAGTAAAGCAAGTTATTCTTTGACCAAAAGTTATTCATATGTCTTTAAAATATTCTAAATTATTAATTATTGCAACTGTATAACACTTTTTACATAGTCTATAGATATGTTAATTTCGTTCTAAAAAAATGAAAAATATCATATAAACTGAACATAGCGAATAACTCCATATCTAAAACTCGAACCCAACGTCCCGAATTAAGGATAAAACTTACTTGAAGATGGCTAGCAATGTTATGTCTAGTGAGACCATGAGTAGACATAAGCTCCAAAATTCTTGATGGGACTGCCTTATCAACACCTAATTTCTCTATTGCTTTTACAAATTTCCTATGTAGCTCTGGAGTCCAATCCACCTTCACATAATTCAAGAAATTAAACTTCCATTTTACTAAAAAATAAAATTTAAAGGACAAACAGACAAACAAATAAATAAATAAAACATTAATTTATAACTTATCCATTAAAAAATTATTATTTTGTCAGTGTATATAACTTAAATTTTTAAGAGAAAATTAAATCGATGATGACTTATGATGTTTACTTTACATGATTAACATTACAAGTTTATTTAAGTTATATTATCATTATTATAAATAAACTTTTATATCATTAGACCATTCAAAGAGCATAAAATAAATTTGTAATCATAAAAGATAAGACAAATTAATTATTATCTTCTACATGAGAGGTAGTCATCAAGTCACTTAAAAAGGATATCGACGAATAATACTCCTTAGTTCTTAATATATGAAATTTATAATCTTTAACTACGGCTAAAACAGGAAACAGTAATGCAAAAATTTCTTACGCTACGATGAATATAACTAAAAAAAAATTACCTTTACTTTCCTCTTTCCTTGAGGATTTTTTATTTGGCTAGATGATTTTTTAGCTTCTTTTGACTTGAATTTCATATTACCATGAGTAGCAGATTCTTCACAACTAATAACTGAAAATTCACCAAAAATTTCGAAATCTGGCAGCAAATCTCCATCGTTGATTTCATCGAAAAGGTCATCGAAATCGATGGTGTTGATTAAATTCCCATGGGGAAAATCTTGGAATAAATCATAATTTTCCCTTTCATTTTTGTAGCTCAATGATGAAGATAGAGCAAGCATTATTTCAAATACTATAAGTATAATTAACCTTCAAGAAAATAAATGCAAGATTAATTAGTAATATTAAAAGTAAGATAAGATTACATGCTATAACAAGTCACTAAAAGATAAGCTTCTTAAAAATATAAGAGCTGTGATGTGAAAATAAGATAAGAGTCACTCAAATGTCCTCTTCTTAAAATGTGAGATTTGTAATGTTGAGAATAAGACAAATTACTCGCTATAACAGATAATCAACTCATTCAAAGAACATTGATAGGCAAGCCTCCTCGTAATATGGGATTTGTAATTTTGAAAATAAGATAGATTACATGCTATATATAAGTCAGTCAAACATCAGTGTAGTTAAGTCTCTCCTTAAACTCTCAAATTTGTAATGTTGAAAATAAGACAAATTACCTACTACAATAGATAATCAACTCATTCAAAGAGCATCGACGGGTAAGCTTCCTCATGATATGAGATTTGTAATTTCGAAAATAAGTTAGATTACCTGCTATAACTCACTCCTTAAAACTCTAGATTTGTAATGTTGAAAATAAGACAAATTACCTGCTACAACATATAATTAACTCATTCAAAGAACATCGACAAGTAATTAGCTTCCTCATAATATGAGATTTGTAATTTCGAAAATAAGATAGATTACCTGTTATAACTCACTCAAATATCGATAGATAAGTCTTCTTAAACTCTAAGATTTGTAATATTAAAAATAAAATAAATTACCTGCTATAACAGACACACTCAAAGATATCGATAAATAAGTCTTCTTAAAATATAAGATTTGTAATCTTAAAAATATATAACCACCCAATTCAACCTCTCTTGATGAATATAAGATGATGAATTTGGTGACATCAAAAGAGAGAAAATTTAAGTTTTGGATTGGAACTTAAATTGAAATTAATTCTTTCTTGTTTCATTTTTTTTTTTGTTGGGAGTAATATATAAGGTTGAAATATTTAATTTCCACCACAACTTGTATAAGAGGGTTGTGTGTCTGATTTTTGTTTTTTTGTCTTTGTTTTTGGCTTGTTCTTGAATTAAAATATAAAATATTTAAAGGTTTTGTGGATGGCGTTTTTTTGAACATATAAAACATCTATTACTATACAAGAGTTTGTGAGCTGTTTTATGAGTTTTTTTTTTGTTCATTTGATTAAGATGAGAACAAAATGGGTGTAGGTTTCAAGTTGATCACAATGTATGTTATTAGGTTGCGGTGAAATAATTGAAATATATATTTTTTGTCTTTTAAATCATAAATTTTAAGTTCGAGTGCTAGAAATAAAATGTTTCAAAAGAAATAACATAAATAATGGTCATCCAACAACTTAAAATATATATTTTTACTATTCAAAAGGTTAGTTTTATCATTTCAATTTTCAATGTTTATAATTTATTTATTATTGATATTTGCATTTTCATTTCAGAATGTCTATTTTTTATATTATACAATAGATTATGCGTAATTTATGTAGGTATTATTATTTAAGACAAAAGGAAAAAAATATATAAAGTTTATAAACTATTGTTGTTTTTTAAATGGAAACTTCAATCTTCATAAACTCAAATTAAAGTTCCAAATTACCCTTCTATTGAGTCATTTTCTTAGCATTAAGAGGTTAGCATAAAATACATAAATTCCATACATTTGGGGATAATTATATCATATCTCAGAAGTTTTTTCAATTACAAAAGTCCCAAATTTTTCACTAGACTCGGATACATTCAGTGGTTGTCCAATACATTACAAATGATATATTACTTAATGGAAGGGATATATCCGAGATAAAGTAGAGATGTATCCGAGAGGGGATAGAGATGTATCTAAAAGAGATTTTTACAATTTTTCTTAAAATGATATAAATTTTAGAGATTATGATATCTTAAGTTGTGTATTTATGTAATTTTTCCAAACAAGTTACCCTTTGAAAAAAATTTGATTCGAGTCATTCATATGGATCGATTCAAAATCATTTAAAATAAGCATATATAATTTGTTATATTTTTATAGTTAAACATTTATCTTTGTGTTACTTTACCATTTCATGATAAAAGATATATACGATTTTTCTAAATTGTTGTGTCACTTCACAACGTTGAAATTATACAAAAATAGATATAACAATTAAGATTTAAGACACTTCAAAAACTGTTGTGTCATTTCACAATATTAAAAAAGAAATTAACAAAATGATTAGAACTCCCCTAAAATTGTTATGTCAATTCACAATATTTAGAAGAAAAAATAAACACAATATTTAGGACTCTTCTAATTAATTGTTCTGTCAAATCATCATGTTAACAAGGAATTAGCCAATAAAACTCTTCACTAATCTTCTCCACACACGTAGATATAAAAAATAATAAAGTACTTCATCTATAATGATTTGTAATTGGAAAAAAGCTATTTTGTATTAATATGAGTTGTAGTGTAGTGGTGGGCTGCTTAGCCTTTAACCAGAGGTCTCGAATTGTCATGAGTATGGAGAAAATCTTGTTGAGAGCGATATTCTCGAATGGGTCCTATAGTGCACGATTCAGATTTAATCGACACGCTAATATGGACTTTAAACATCGGATGGGAAATCAAGAAAAAAATATTTTGTATTATGTTCTTAAAGTACATTTCTTTTAAGATAATCATTTCTTAATATGTATGTATTATTCATTATTTTATTTTATTTTTCATTTAGACCATTAGGTAATTTACTAAAAAATTTAGGGAAAAGGGTAGAAAATATCTCTCAATTTTCATTTAGGGGCTGTTTGGCCATGCGATATGGAATTATGATATGGTATCATGATATGAAATCATGAGATGAAATTGAAGTTTTGTTTGGACATGCGATATGGAATTTTTGTGTTGTATATTTCTCATAAACATAAAAATCTCATAAGTTGTAAAACTATTAAAATAGCCCCAATTGTTTATTCAATCTTATCAAATAAATAAAAAATTATAAAATCGCATAATAAATTATTACAAAGCTATTTGTTCTCCACTTAAGTAATTGTTTCATCTAACTTTAATTT